AACGTCGGTGCTCCGCGCCACCCGCGCCACGACGAGCTATTCGCGGAAAAGCGCAGGGGGGAGGGTGCTCAAACACCGTCCCCCCAGCAGGGCACGGACCAAAGAAAAGAAACTAAAAAAAAGCAAAGAAGTAAACATGACGTGAGCAATGTATGCCCCCAGGCTTAGACCACTATGTTTGGTCTATGGTCTACCGATATATAGTGGTCTATGCCCCAGGACATATACAGACATCTGAAACGAATCAAACTTCCCAGATTGCCAAATCTCCCAAAATGCTCATCAATGCTGCTCATCAATGGGACAAATCAAACTGCCGTTCCCCACAAAACAAGTGAGGGCCCAACTAGGCCCAATTGAAAATGTTGTCCCGATTGGGCGGTTCCTACGATTTCGATGTTTTGTAAAATTACCACACTCTCTCCTGGGCACCGCACCTTCACCCATTTTATGCAGAAATATCAACCTTGAAAATTTACCTTTTTTGACCTGGCATTGACCTGACCTCCACCAGGAAGTGACTTAAACCGGTCCTGATAGTCTTATAACCAACATCATTGAGTTGGAAATGTAAAATGACCATAAAACATTCATCGCACAGCCCTAGTAAAATTAGGATCATGTGCTGACCCTTGGTGACCTGACCCGTGACCTGACCTGGTATTATCAGTGACCTCTAATAGCAACATATGTACTGGGCGATTGACGCCCTATCGCTGATTTTTGATAAAAAATGCGTTTTACTCGATGCTATAGCGCACTTCCTAGAAGACCCGTCAATGGCAACATATTTTTTATCTTTTACCTGACCTGCGACGTCATCAGTGACCCTGAGGTCAATCAAATTGGATTTTCCCTCGACTAATTTGACAGGGCTTTCGAATGCCGTTTGAAATTTGCGGATCCGTCCAGTAGTTTTGGAGATACGTGGGGGGGGGGGGGGTAAACAATAGCCCCCAGCAGGTCGCGTTATGAACAGACCCCACCAGGGTTGGGATTAAATCTGGCTGAAAATTAGGAAACCTACCGGGGAACCCACGGCAAGGGGGTTCCCAACTTGGCTACTAAGACAATGCATCTCAGTCAGTGCTCGCAACAAAATCGGCTCGATGAGCAGTCACCATATGGAATCGCTAGAATCAAGGCTAGCCCGCGCCCCGCTGGGGGTCCTGGATTTCCACGCTCTGCTGGGGGGGGGGGGGGTTGAACACCCCCTTCTAACTCGGCCCCTGGGCCACGTAGCGATATGCGGTAAGCGGCATTCGAAAGAACGTCAAAAACAATGACGAAAATACTGTCATTTTTAGGTCAGGTCCAAGGTCAGGTCACCAGAGGTCATCAAAGGTCAAATTTTGCTATTTAACATTTTTCGAAACTGCCAACGGACAACTCGGGAACCAATAGAGATACACGCCGCAGAAAAGCGCATTCCATAGCTCTTTTACAGGCCTTTCTGTATCATTCTAAGATTTGACCTCAGGTCAACGGTTTAGCCTCCAGTGGGCAAAAACTCCAAAAATAGCCGCTTATAGGAAAAATGTTTGTCTTTAATAACTTTTGACTCAAGAGAGAAGCGACATTACTTTTGCCAGCATCGTGTTCCTCTCATCGAGACGCTTCGAGTGAATTATAATTTGACCTTTAAAGGTCAATTTGAAAATTTGACCTCAGGTCAAGGTCATGACCTGACGGGAAAAGATCATGCTGCATATCAGTCGATCCGTATCGTCGAGCCAAACACATCTTAGGCGTTTTCATTGCTCTACCTTGCCTCTCTCAGAAGCTAGGAGCGAAAAACGGTTAAGGGGCCCTGACACTTGCACGATTTTGTGGCACGCATTGGCACGAGTCGAATCGTGCCCGTGCGCATACTAGTCGTAAACTGACGTGAAGTGTGCGTTAAGGTGCTCTGACACTTGCACGACTTTTGGTCACGATTTTGTCGTGGCAAGCCGTGCCATTTTCGTGCACGAACTGGGATGGCTCCCGCACTGTTCACGACTAGTGCACGACCAGTTCACGACGATTTCTAGAATAATTCACGAATGTGTGCCCATCAGTGTCCACATTGGCACGGACTGGTACGACGAGTTCACGCATACTTTCCGCATAGTTTGCGCATAGTTTACGCACTTCACGCATTGGCACGACAAGTCTGCGCAATTTGTGCCGACTTGGGCATGCCATATAGAAATAGGACCTCCCATTCATTAATGTATTGTAAGCTCCGTGTCCTGGTAAGACCCATCGTGACCTCCAGTGACACAAATGTCCTGACCGTGCCTAATGTGACCAGTTTGACCTGGACTGACCTATCGTGACCTTGTCTGACCTCTGCGACCTGGCGTGACCCGTCGTGATCTCATGGTGACCTTTGTGACCTAACCTGACACCGTGTGACCTAATTTGACCTCTGTGACCTAACATGAGCCCGTGTGACCTAGTTTGACCTCTGACCTGAAATGACCCGTTTAATACATTTTCGGTCATTACTTCCCATCTAGGCGTCCAATCGACTCGGGAAAAACACCAAACAATCCCAAATTTCGCGCTGCGAAGCTAGCCGAGATCCACATATTGGCACGGGCTGGTAGGACGAGTTCACGAATACTTTCGCATAGTTTGCGCATAGTTTACGCACTTCCCGTACCGTCCCGACGAGTTCACGACGAGTTCACGAACAGTTTGCGCATAGTTCACGATCCGGGTGCGAAATTTTGTCGTGACCAAAACTTTGAACATTTCAAAGTTTTTGCTCCGACATGGCACGAAGTCACGACGAGTTAACGCACACTTCACGTCAGTTCACGACTAGTTTGCGCACGGGCACGATTCGATTATTGTCAATGCGTGCCACAAAATCGTGCAAGTGTCAGGGCCCCTTTAGCTCGTCGTGACTTCGTGCCATGTCGGCACGAGAACTTTGAAATGTTCAAAGTTTTGGTCACGACAAAATTTCGTGACAGGATCGTGAACTATGCGCAAACTGTTCGTGAACTCGTCGTGAACTCGTCGGGACGGTGCGGGAAGTGCGTAAACTATGCGAAAAGTATGCGTGAACTCGTTGTACTAGCCCTTGCCAATGTGTGGATCTCGGCTTGCTTCGCAGCGCGAAATTTGGGATTGTTTGGTGTTTTTCCCGTGTCGATTGGACGCCTAGATGGGAAGTTATGATCGAAAATGTATTTAACGGGTCATTTCAGGTCAAAGAGGTCAAACTACGTCACACGGGCTCAGGTTAGGCCACAGAGGTCAAATTAGGCCACACCGTGTCAGGTTAGGTCACAGAGGTCACCATGAGGTCACGATGGGTCACGCCAGGTCACAGAGGTCAGCCAAAGTCACGAAAGGTCAGTCCAGGTCAAACTGGTCACATTGGGTACGGTCAGGACATTTACGTCACTGGAGCTCACGATGGGTCAGGCCAGGACACGGAGAAATTGGTAAATGGGAGGTCCCATTTTTATACATGGCATGCCCAAGTCGGCACAAATTGCGCAAACTTGTCGTGCCAATGCGGGAAGTGCGTAAGCCATGCGCAAACTATGCGGAAAGTATGCGTGAACTCGTCGTACCAGTCCGTGTCAATGTGGACACTGATGAGCACGCATTCGTGAATTATTCGTGAAATCGTCGTAAACTGGTCGTACACTAGTCGTGAACAGTGCGGGAACCATCTCAGTTCGTGCACGAAAATGGCACGGCTTGCCACGACAAAACGTGACCAAAAGTCGTGCAAGTGTCGGGGCACCTTTAGATACCATTCGTGACCTGAGATGACCTCGGGGACATAACAAGGGGCCACGGGTGCCCTTTCCGGTTCAGCGTGTCATGTATACTCGTAAATCAGTGTTTGAAAGTGTTTAGAATGGCGTTCTATCGTGTTTTTGTTTTTCTTTAATGACCTCCTTACAATGATTATGAAACTGTAATCTCAATTCGTTTATTTTTTATATTGTTAATAGAATGGCGTTCGTATAAAAGAAGCGCTTTTCAATTTTCTTCCATAGACTTATAATGGAAAGATCGAAAATTGAGCTGACCTTAGGTCATTGATATCAAAATTTCGAGAAATAAATTTTGTAGATACTACATGTATCAATCGCTGATAATTTCAAAGCGATCGGTCACTCATCATAGCTATGGCAGGCATTGGAACTTTTTAGAAGGTGAGGTCACTTGAAGTGACCTGGTGGCCTGACCTTTGGTGACCATGCCAAAATTTTCACAGCATGTGCAAAGCGGAAGGTGTATGATAAAGTGTGCCAAAAACGGCGGCGCTCCACTCCACCATTTTTTAGATATACGCGAGAACCGCAGGGGGGTGCTCACCCCCTCCCCCCTAGCAGGGCGCTGGCTAATACAGGGTGTCCCGAAATTGATTGCGCCTTTATCCCATCGCATTCATAATGAAACAAAAACATGATCGGTACTTTGTTAATTTACCGATGCATCCTCCCCTTAGTCGAATGCTCTCCCTCATGGGCTCAGGCATCCCGCACACCAGATTGTCCAGCGTCTCGGCGCTGATACCACGGTAAAACTCTTGCTTGAGATGTCAGAAGCGATTTTTTCAGCAAGACAGCGCGCCAGCGCACAACGCGGCCACGACTCAGCAGTGGTGCCGCGACAACCTCCAAGGGTTCTGGGAGAAGGGCGTATGGCTCGGGCACAGCCCTGACTGGTCTCCCATTGAAAATATCTGGGCTATCGTGCAGGGCGAGCTGGACAAGAGAGAGCCGCCCACCTCCGAGAAGGCGCTGGTCAGCAATCTGCAGAACGCTTGGCTTCAGATCAGCGCCGAGACGCTGGACAATCTGGTGTGCGGGATGCCTGAGCCCATGAGGGAGTGCATTCGACTAAGGGGAGGATGCATCGGTAAATAAACCAAGTACCCACCATTTTTTGTTTTATTACGAATGAGATGGGATGAAGGCGCAATCAATTTCGGGACACCCTGCATAGCTCGGAAGCCCTGCTGGCAGCGATCGAAGACTCACCGTGCGCTCCAGTTCGTACAAACGCGCCATCAGAGAGGCGATGGTTTGCTCCAGGTCTTCATTGCGCGCCTCGGTCTCGCGCAGCTTGGTCTCCGTGGACGAATTGGTGACGCGCAGTTCCTTCAACAGATTTGCAGGGCAAATATGGGGCGGGACGTGACTTTCATATGCACCGCGAACACAGGTCGATGGGTTTCAAACCTCTTGTCCGACACACATAGCTGGCGAATCTAAAGGTGGGGGACTTTTGGGGGATATAGCCTAGCCCTCCATCAGTGTTCAAAATTGACGATATTTTCCAGTTTCCCTCACACAGAAATAATATTCAACAATTTTTGTTGGCGAAAGTTTACTTTATTCCGCACACAATAAGGATGATAACCCGAGGTGGACAGCAAAGGTCAGTTACCTTCAGGTCATTTTCCGTCCTCTTTTTGTCTGTCAGCGCTTGGTTCAGTTGGTCTCGCAGCTCACGTACACGAGTCTTCAGTCGCAACACCTGCATCTCGGCGGCCTCCTGCTCTCTGGGCACCAGCCTGGCGGCCAGATACGGGAAGCGTTACACGTTACACAGCAGCCCGTCCCCCACGCAGGCCAACACTACTCGACCGCCACAGTCCGCCATTCTTGCAGCCATTCTGTAACTCGGGAACTACTGGGCTGATCGGAACGAAACACCATTCGAATCTCATCAGGGGATACGTTTTTATCAGCCGTTTCTAATATGGTAACATCAGGTTACCTCTGTGACCTCGAAAGGTCATTTTGACGTTTTAACCCTCGCACCGACGGGGGGGGGGCGGATATCCGCCCCCCTGAGGTTTTTCGCAAATAGCGGGAAAACCGCGGCGCGTAGCGCCGCGAAATTTGGTATGACTATAACCTCATCAATTTTACACATGGTGTGCAAGTTTGAACCTCCTACCTTTTAAGGTCAGGTCACCAGGTCACTTTGAATGACCCAACCTCAAGTCACTTTTTTGCAACTTTGTCACCGTGCCAGAGCTACAGTAGATGTCGGAGGCCTTTGAAAGTCGCAGGATATTATTAGGTCATTAGTACCTACAATTTGTATATCTCGGAATTTTGATATCGGTGACCTAAGGTCAGGTCAATTTCGCGACCTCCCCATGGGGCGTTCAACGACAAATCGACAAATAAAAAATTAAATTTGCACCCTCATATTTTATTTTTCGTTGAAAACTGGTGTATGGGGTTGTGATGGGCGGGGAAGCCAGCTGTGGCAAGGATTTTTTTCTTCGAACAACGGTTTCCGAGATATAGCCTCGGGCAATTCCAGCAGGTCGCGCTGCAGCCCTATGTTTGGCGGCCTATAACTCAGAAACTGTTGGTTTTCTACGATAAAAACTCTATATGGTTCAACCATAGACCTCTGTACACCTGGACTGAGCGCAGAAATTTCGGCCATGACCATAGTGGCCCTAACTTTCAGATGTTATATCTCGAGATCAGTAACACCCAGATAGGTCCGGTCTTCACTGTTTGATGGCCCCGTGCATTAAAAATTGAATGCAATGTCTGCGGGAGATATCGGCTGGCACAGAGGAGGGTCTGCGCGTGGCGCGTGAGGGGTGTTTACAAAGTTGGTCTAATGATATCTCCAGAACCGCGTCACTGATTGAGCTCAAATTTGGTATGTGACCAGATACAGCACATCCGACACTATCACATTTCTCAAATAGGGGGTACTACTGCACGTGCGCACGTGCGCACCCCTTCTTTATATCTCAGTAACCACTGGCCCGATTGAGCTCAAATTTGGCATGTGGCCAGATGACATACATTAGCCACTATCACATTTCTCAAATTGGGGGTGCTACTGCACGTGCGCACGTGCGCACCCCTTCTTTATATCTCAGTAACCACTGGCCCGATTGAGCTCAAATTTGGTATGTGGCCAGATGACATACATTTACATTACCCACTAGTGCATTTCTGAAACAGGGGGTGCTGGTGCACGTGCGCACGTGCGCACCCCTTCCTTATATCTCAGTAACCACTCACTGGCCCGGCTGAGCTCAAATTTGGTATGTGGCCAGATGACATACATTAGCCACTTTTGCGTCTCTGAAACAGAGGGTGCTGCTGTGGGTGCTGCCGCAAGTGTGCACGTGCACACATTTTCTTATATGTCTGGAACTGCTGACCCGATTCTTGGGCCCGATTGAGCTCAAATGTGGGTCTAAACATCAAGCAACTGCCGCTAACGCATTTCTGAAACTGTATGGGGGCATTCTGGAACCGCTGACAGTGCACTTCCCTTTTTACGCAAACTAATCGGCGCGTGCCATTGCTCTCAAGTTCGGGGTGCAGCATCATATCATGCATCTCCGTCAGAGGCAGCCCTCGAACAGGGGATTCTGTTCTAAGTTTACAAGAGAATGTCTCTTTCGATTGGTTTTATTTGACGTTTTCCACTTTGATCAATAGATCTGTAAACGGTTTATAAATAACGCATTGCAAAACGATTTTATTTTACTGAACACTCTTATTCTTCATACCTACACGAATGTATAACCAACTCCACAAAAGTCATAACATATCACACGGATGCGAAACGGCCCCCGCTAAACCAACGCCACGGCCTCATTATTGACTCTCAGGCATTCGCACCCGATATTCCACACGGACCAGCGTTCAACCACCAGCCACCAAAACCGTTATGTCACTCTGTGACCAGTGAAGGACAGTGACGACAAAGTGGCCGTGTATGGGATATTGTCCCTGTATATCATCGAAGTACATAATTCTACAGCTACGTAATTATACGTAATTATGCGTACGTAATTGCACATTTCTTTCACGCCAACGTTTAGGCTGCTGATATTATCACGGTTTTGTGTGCTGTCCGTGGGCTGGTCGCGTTGCCGCATGCATGCACATTGCACACTGCTGACGTTTATCTCACTACTGCCGGCTACCACGTCTTCAATATGTCATTATGCAGTCTTGGGCCTGAGCTATGATGCATGCCCCACTGACGCGTGACAACACTTAGGCACTTGAGCAGTGCTACGGGTTGTCCTCCACGTGGCACACAAGGAGATAGCACACGGGTAGCTCCGTCTGAGCAGCCGATATTCTCACAGCCCAGGCAGTCCTCCGTCGCGTAACGGTCGATGCGGCTTACCTACTGAGGCACGAGCAGCACTATATAGGCTTAAAGGGACTATCCCACCTTTAACATGGGGTTTGAATTGAGATAGCCAAGTTTGCGGCGAGGTTCAGAAACCACTATCTATCTAGGTTGCAGCCCCCGCGGCCTCTTGGTGTTGAAGAAATTCGTTCCCTTCATTTGAAGATGGGCCTTGTACAAGGCCCTATCTTCAACATGGAGCGACCGTTAGTGTGACGTCACCTCGTTTAGTCATTCTGATTTAAATGGGTTTGTTCGTTGAAAAATCGCTTAAAACTTGGTCTGAACTTTGTTGTGGTGCCTACAGAGTAAAAAGAATCAGCTTTATGACAGTAATGTGGCCTAGGGAAGGAGGTAATTTTGGCCTGTGACGTCACATATTTGAAAGTTTGTGTTTGGAATATGGGAAGCCTAAGATGTTTAATGAAAAATAAATGCCAGAACCGTGTTCCTGGTCATCCAATCTATAAAGTCGGGCACAATTTAACTGGTTTTAACAACATTTTAGAAGGTGGGATAGTCCCTTTAAGTAGTGCTGCAGAATGTCCTCCACGTAGCACAAAATGAGGTAGCACACGGGTAGCTTCGACTGGACAGAATGTGTCACAGCTCAGGCTCAGGCAGTTTTCCGTCGGGCGGCGGTTGTTGTTGTTGGTCCCTCCGGCCGCTGCACGAAAGGACCGCGGCCGGAATTAGCGCGACATTGGTGGATTTGGCGACCTTTCCCAAATTGAGTTAAACTGTGTCACGTAGTTCAGAAATGTCCATGGACCACGAATCTGCAAATATTTTTCGTCCATAGTGTACAGCGTCCGCGCCACATCAGCCCAAACACAAAGTTTTGTGCCAAGCATCGTAGACCCGTTTTCGTACGGAAAAAAATAGCAGCTAACGTAGGTAAAAAATATATCTATTAGACGGCTTTGTCAATATTTTCGACGTCTAACCTGATAGTTTAGACCATGGGCTACACGATGGAAGAAAAAACTCATAGCGGAATATATAAATACGCTTCAAATGTTAAGTTTTTTTGGTGCTTTAAAAATTTTGAGTTAATTTTACTGTTATAGATATTCTGGAATGCCGATATAAAAAGTCCCGCTAGGTCCCGCTGTTCTTTTATCAATATGGTGTTTAACAATCAATTGCCTTTCAGAAAATGTATAATTTAGCTGCGTCAGCCTGCGGCAGCGAAAATGAGGGGCATTTTTTTACTCCAGGTCGCCGCGGCCGTGAGCCGCGAGTAACAGAACCTCAGGAATCGAACAAGGTTGCCAAGTACCAACTATATTAAAGTTTTGTCCGGACATATCCGTACCTTCTATCGAAGTTTCTGATACACTTTTCTGACCCGTAATAAATTTGTTATATAGTCATGTAGGCCATCAGATTCCCATCTTCACGGTTTTGGTGGCTACATTATTTGCTTATCGGAATTTCCGGTGCCGTCATGACCTGGCCTGACAGGTGCTGCCGTCTTATCACGTGACCGAGCGGAGTCGAGGTCAGGGCAGGTCAACCGATTAATTAATCAATTAATTAATGAATTAATTAATGATTAATTAGTTAAATTAATCAGAAATTGCTTAGAAAGTACACCGATTACCATTTCTATGATTCTACCATCCTTTTCATGTGAAAAGCGGGCACGAAATACGAAAAAGTACCGATGTCGCGCTAATTTTCGCTCCGGTCCCATTGTGCGCTGGCGTCCCGCAACGTAGCCTAGAGGCTCTGGAGGGCCCTTAACCCTATTCCTGGCGGGCTCCGCCGGGACAAGAAACTGGCGGGGGGGGGGCCGATTCGGCCCCCCCCCTCAGATCTCAAAAACTACACATCGCAGCGACAAACGGTAAACGGCATCGGATACGCACGGTCAAGATCTACAATTTTTACTAAGGTCATTTTCAGGTCAGGTCAAAGATGACGTCACAGGGGTCGAAAAAGTCAAAATGGCGGCGCTAGATATGGAGAGAGTTTTTCTCGAATAACTTTCGAATTAGTCAAGATAGGAACAAACTAAGGGCATCATCGTGATCCTCTCGTCAATCCGCATCGAATGATATATATGTTGACCTCGAAAGGTCAAGGTCAAAGGTTGACCTCAGGTCACGTGACCTCGAGGTCATTATGTATATCATTCGATGCGTCTTGACGAGCTGAACACAATGAGACCATCCAAGCGTCTGTATCTTGTTCCTGTACGGAGTTATTGGCCAAAAACCTTTGGTGACCTTTGATGACGTCACATGACCTCACAGCTGCCCAACAGCAAAACAGACCTCAAGGTAGTGAAGGTTGATCGTATATGAAGTCATGTATGGTATATGGGGCCATTCCGACCCGTTTTAGTGGTAAAAACAGGGAGTTGATTTTTCC